CCCCAAAACCCCAAAACCCCAAAACCCCAAAACCCCTCATGTCTCCTCACAAGTTGAATAGAAAATATTAAGATTTAATTTTAGGCAGCAAAGGCTTACCTCCTTGGATCTCAGGAAGCTTGTTGTGGTTCATGAACTTCTTCTTGAGAGGCACCTTTGAAGGCTTCTCTTTGTAGGACCCAGACCTGAGGATGGGCTCCATCATTTCGGGAGGCTTATTGCTGTACACCTTTTTGAGACCTGATGAAAGAGCCATACCGTTTACGGTCCTACGCTTCTTTGATCGGGAATTTGGAGGTAAAGATGTCCTCATTCCGTATTTTACCTGCATTTTACTGATAACCTGTTGGTTTGTAAAATCTTTTCCTTGCTTTGGGATCTTCTGAGGAAGGTTCATATAAACATCAACTGGGACTTCCTCATCAGCATTTACAGTATCAATTTGGGAATGGTTGTTTTCTTTAAAGGATGAATTGGCCTTCTTTATGATAGAATTCTTTCCAATCTTGACTTTTGCAGACTCATTACGCTTCCTGATCCTAAATTCTGGCTTTTGGTTTGACATCCTTGATTGACCTTTTGAAGTAGGTTGCAAAGCATTGTTGAAAGTTGGTAATCCCTGACTATTCATTGCTTTCTCTCTGTTCATTTTTCTCATACAAATTCTAGAAATTAAGATATTAAATTACTTGTAATCTACTACAGCATTTAAAGGTCTCTCAGTTGTGAAGAAATTTTTGTATAGAGAGTAGTTAGCATTTGGAAAAATTCTTTTGAAATTTCCTCTAAGTTTATACTCTTCATCAGTTTCTCTCACAATATCTTTCTCTTCTTTGGTTAGCTTGCCCTTGTTGAGCATTCTGTGATGAGTGGAATTCAGTTCGGATCCAACATGCTTGCCGCCTCCTGTGTTTGCCCATTTTGGTTTAGATTTGGAAACTTTACTTCTTGGCTTATCTTGCTTTTCAGAATAAGCTCCATAATGGAGGCCTTGTTTTCTTACTTCTACCTTACTTCTCTTTTCTAATGGAACAATTCCGCATAGAGACAGCATATCAGCAACCATATTTCCTTTAACTTTCTGATCAATGGGGGAATCTCAGCTCATGGCTGGAGATAGGTTCACTTCAATGAGCCATGGCTTATAATTTTCATCAAGAAGGACGTCAAAACCGAGGCATTCAAATCAGTTCTTTTGGTAAGGAACATACATTTCAAATGCTTTGCCCATTTGATGCTCAGCTGAAATGATTGTTTTAATCAGGACATCTTCAATATCTTTCCGAATTTGAATATCATCAATGCCATTACTTCTACAGTATTTCCAAAGAGCAGTCAGAGACCATTTAGAGCCATAGTTATCCTGAGAAGCATCGTTACTTCTAAGGAAATTAGCATTCTTTTTATTCACACTGTAGTTAGTCAGATGTGTGTATTTCGTAAATTTCTCAGTTCCAAGTGGCTTATACTTAGCAGTAGCAAATCTTACTAAGCCCTCTTCATACATATAAATCCTCAGTGGATTAATTGAGGTTAAGCAAACATAAATTCGAAGATCAAATTTATAGCCGTTGATAAGCATTGGGTTGTCTACGTAGTGAGCAACAACGCAGTTTTGCTTATATGGAAGCTCCTGCACATTATTTAGTAAAGTAAATACCTCTTCCTTGAGCTGATGCTGCTGGCTTTACTATCCACCACTGCTCTGGATTTCTGTCCATTTCTTCAACAAGCATCCCGTGCTCCTTAGGCAGGTTGAATGTCTTTGGGTAGAAGTCAAAGTGGGTGTCGCCGTAGAGGGAGTTCATGCGACTCATGTTGGTTGTTATCAGGTCTTTGCGGCATAACTCGCTTGATTTAGGAAAGTGATTTACTCTTTGATACTTGTTTAACCCTTGATATACTTGTGGTTTAATTGATCCAGTAAACCACATAACTGTCCAATCTAATGAGTTTGTCTTGACTTCTCGGAATCCGTTGTCTTCCAGTGTATATCTGATGATCTTAACATCTCAATTATTAAATTTGAAATAATATCCTCTGTCTGGAGGCTTATAAGGTTTAACTGCAATTGGATCAATATAAGGGCGGAACACCAGATATTTCTTTTCAATCCCTTTGGCCACTTCTTTATTGACAGTTCCACCTATTTAAAATAGAATTATGCTTATTTATGTAGCAATATAGATAAACAATTGCAGTTCAAAGTCTTGATTTTAATTGAGAAGTAACTTTAAAACCTAGCGAGACTAAAAACAATTTTTCTAGATTAAATTTTTACCTATTCCTAAAATTGGTTTCTTTTCTTTTTCTTCTTCCTTTGATTTTACCTTTGGAACTTCAATTGGAGCTTCCATAGGATCTGCTAAAGGATCTTCCATTGGAGCTTCCATAGGAATCTCCAATGGAGCTGGTACAGGTGCTATTACAGAACTGACAGAGGGCTTCTGAACATCTAAAATTGGAGGTGGTGGATTGACAGCCTCTTTCTTTCCGATTTGACTCTCAGAGTTATTCCTAATCACTGGTATATCCTTAATAAGCTCAGGAGAAGGATTGCATTCATGGTCAAGATCCCTATTAAGCTTTTTCTTTTCAACTGCATCTTCTATAACCTCAGCTTGAATTTCTGGACCATTGGGCTTGGCTGGTGAGTTATTTTTATTCTTTGATGGTTTTCCTTTAATATTTCCCTTCTTGGTGGGGCTAGCATCATTCATCTTCATAACAGAGTTCTTTAGGTCAATATTATCAGTTTTTATTTGTAATTCCTTCTCTAAAATATAAGACTAGCTTAATAGTACTTTGAATAGTTGCATCAGATTTTATTTTAGCTAGATCATTGTTTTCTAATTCAAATGTCAGACAATTCATAAATCTGTGCTGAAAGCTTACTTGTAGGAATAGACTTGACCTTCTCTGCTACATTCTCACTTTCTTTCACTTGTTTCTGTGCCTTTTCATTCACATTAAAACTTTTGAAATCTTTATTTTTGAAAGTCTGAGCCTATATCTCAAATCAATGAGCATTTTCAAAATTATATGTGTCTCCAGCCCAAATCTCTGGGCTTCTCAGATAAAGCTGAACCGATCTGGATGAAGAACTCTCCTCATGAAATTTCAATTTTTGAGGTTGAGGTAATGGAGCAAACAAAGTAAAAGTAACTGCGACCTATTCTAAAGAGCTGATAATGACTTTTGAAGTCAATCTGAGTATACTAAAGAGCCACATTAACAGGGCCCTGGTTAAAGATCTGCCAAACAAGAGTAGAACTAATCAATTTGAATGATAAAGAATTACCTTGGTATTATTCCTATTTGGTCTGGATGCTATCTTTGGAGATATCTGATCTGAATTTAATATTCCAATGATTTCTTCTAATTCTTCATTCATATTTAAATCCTTTAATTTGTATAAAATATGGGGTTTTGGGGTTTTGGGGTTTTGGGGTTTTGGGG